AAAATGTAGCTTTTTCTTTTACTATCAAAAACTCTGACAGCTTTTAATACAATATTTCAAAGTTGTGTAAATGAAAGGGTCATTTTCTGATCCTTGTGTATAAAACATTTACCTGTATGCATTCATTGATGTCGTCATTGGTTCATAGAATACAAACTCTGGATCTCTGTAAAAGAAAAACAGTCTTAAAACAATATATTTTGTATTTTTCTATCTATTTTTTTTAAATTCTTTGAGAAGTTTGCTTTTAATGTAGATGAGGGTACAGGTGTGAGTTTCATGTATCTGGATTTTCAGAAAGATTTGTCAAAGTACTATATAAAAGGGTTGTCAAAAAAAGCTCTCTTTAAGTGTGGGGAATAGTTTGACTTACTGGATGGAAAAAAAGCAGGGGGTTGTTATAAATGGTGTTCAGTCAAGCAAGATTATATCATAAGCGGGGTACCTCAGGGATGAGTGTTAGGACCTTTACCCTAAATTATTTAAACTTGTTGATGACATTAAAGTTCTGGGTGTTGTTAGCTGTGAGAAGGATATTGCTAATTTACAAAAGGATTTGGATTATTTGTCGAGTTAAGCAAATAAATAGCAGATGGCTTTTAATTATAATAAATGCAAGGTAATGCATGAGATATAACAATTTGAATTATGAGCATAATTTTCATGGAATAGCCTTAAGAGTGTTATGAAAGAAAAAGATCTTGGTATTCTGGTTAATCAGACTTTTGAACCATTCAAGCAAGGTACTGTTGCTAGTGGTAGGGCAAATATAACTTTGGGTTATATCTACAAAATACAAATCTAAAGAGGTTATATTATCTTTCAGGCCTCGAATTTTAAATCCAAATTATTGCCAAGAGATTGATTAATTGACACACTGACTTGAAGACAAAAGGTGGAAGATTTTTGACATGTCGTCCCTACACTTATGTTTCTACAACAGGCAGTTGCCATCCATTCAACTAAGTTTCTTCATTCTATAATCTGTTTTTCTTTTGTTGTTTTTTTTTGCCCTCAATATCTAAGTGAACTAGTAATGAATAAAAACCCTGAAGAAGAAAGGTCCACCTTTCGAAAGTGCTAAAGTTGTAGGGTTTATATTCATTTCTATCAAGACATCTTAAACCTAATGTTTAGGTTACATTTGGAGTACTTTGTTCAGTCCTGGGTTCCTTACCTTAGAAAGTACATTGAATTGTTGAAAAGAGTTCAGAAGAGGACTACTAGGATCACGCTTATGATGGAAAGATTGCAATATGAAAATAGGTTAAGTTATCTGAAATTGTTTTATCCTGAAGAAAAAGAGAGAGTTAGAGGGGATCTGATTGAGGGATTTAAGATTGTAAAGAGAAGTGATAGTGTTGATGCATCATTTGTTTTCATATTTAATTGTAAGAATGTTAAAACTAGAGGACACAAATATAAACTTTGGCAGGGTAGAAGTCTTCTTCAGTTAAGACAACTTTATTTTTCTAACAGGGTGGTTGGCCTTTGGAATGAGTTGCCTTCAGATATGCTAGATACAGTTAATTTAAAGAAGTTTCCAACTAAGCTTGATAAATATTTGTATGATAAGGATGGCTTTGAGTGTTTTACTTTTATTTTAAAGTTTAGTATAGTGGATGAGATGGCCTAGATGGACCAACATGTCCCTTATTGTCCTTAAAATCATATGTATGTGTAATATATGTTCAGCAGAACTTGCTAGGAGTGTGGAATACGGTTAGAATCAAGAAATTTTAAATGTCTTCAAAAACCTTTGTAAGTATGCAATTAAATGACTAGGATTTTTCTATAAACAATTTTTCTTTTAGTCTTATGCTAAAGAAAGTCCAATAGCACAGATTTTGTTACCATGTAGCATTTAAGAAAACAATTACAATGAATGTATTTGTTTTTATTTCAAGAATTTCAGATTTGTAAGATAGGCTTACAGAGTGTCAAGCCCAGCTCTCCATAATTGCAGCTCAGTAGTAAACTGATTAGGCTAACAAAGTTATTGTATGGTCAAGCACATTAGGTAAATATTTATTTGGTGCTGAGATACCATTACCACAAACCAAACTCAATACCCATAAATCACAAATTCTTAAAATACAAATATTACAAAATAAAATAAATAAATATATATATATATATATATGTAATTCAATCTAAATACAGTCTTCATTTCAAACGTTTTCTACAGAAAAATCCATAGTTTTTGGATATGAAAACTGAGACACAAAACATAGTGCCTAAAAGATGTTACTACACTTAAAAAATCTCTTGACAAAAATTACATGTCACACAAGTTGACTTGAAAAACAATATCATCATACCTCTTGTCAGGATGGAAGGTTGTGGCTTTTACCTCCTTCAGATAGCGAGCCATTGCTTGTTCAAGAGTCAAAACCAAAGAACGAGAAGGTGAGCTAGCTGATAAGAGTTGGGCACTGCGAGGTTGAGACGTGAGGTGATCTAACCAGGCTGTTAGAAATTCTTTCTGAACTGACTAGAAAGAGCGAGAGAAATTAAACTTTAAATTTCTGCAGAAAAAAAAAACATTCTAAAAAATTTACTGACTAAAATATGTAAAAGTACACAGCATGGTTTTCTAACTTGGACAGAATCAAACTGATAAAACACTGACATACAGTCTTAAGGTTTACAAGATACAATCTCACAATATATATATATATATACCAAAAATAACAAATAATGGGTATAAATGCTCATGATAAATATAATTTTAAAAATTAGAACATAAAAATAGAAGTTGTTTAAATGGAGAAATGTTTATAAAATGATTTTCAAGTTGGTAGAATTAATCTTTTTTGAGCTCATGAAGCATTTTAACTTAAGAACCCTACAGTTTTAACTAATAGTAAACTAAGGGACAAAATTGACAGCCTCCAATACATCACACATAAAACATAACAAAAAACTCCCCACCCCATCTAGAAGCACATTTAACACCAGTAAGCGTTATCTCATGTTAATAATGCAGGTTGGCTAATAATACTTGAAACTGACCATGGTACAAACTTTATGGCCTTTATGTATGCCAGTGCTTTATTTTGCAGAAATACTTATTTACTTCAGGCTTTTAATCCATAAATACAAATATAAATTTTTAAAATCAGGAAAAAATGTTGTTTAGAGCAAACACGTTTTGAAAGTACACTGGGAGGAACAAACTCTCAGTGCCTGAGATAATTAGGCTTTGGAAACATTTAAAATTATATATCAAATATTTTAAACTGTCAATTAAAAAAAAATTAAAGACAATTAAATCTTTAATAATAACAAAATTAATGGAGTTTAAAACCGAGCAAAAAAAAATAGAAACATGCAACAATTGAAATAAAAATTCATTAAACTCACATCACACGAGCAGAAGTAATTTTCAAACTATATAATACAATAATGATGAAAACAAAACTGTTTTAAACTTTTTCATCAACTTATCCAAAAAAAATCTAAAATAGAATAAATATGTTTTTATTGAATGCTAGCCAAAGTACAAAGCTTATAAGAAAAAAAATAAATACTTTTCTATAGACCTTCAGGAAACAGAATTATGGTGCTTAAAGACTACAGGGTAAAACATTTGCAAAAAGTTTTTTGAGCCAAATCTAAAAAATAAGGCCCAGGTGCACACCCTCAGTCACCTTAGTATGCATGCAAAGTTTCAGGTCTCTAAGTTCTTTCCTCTTGAAACTATGGTGGTCTCACACACACACACACACATAGGCTCTTTTATAAAACCTATATTTCATTTGATATAGTAAAAAATTATTATATAAGTAAATTAATCGTTAAGTACACAAGGTGCCAAAAACTCAATGTATCTATGATTATGAGCAAACATGAAATAATTAAAAACCAATCCATCATATTTCTAAAACTACAAATGTGCAATAAATTCTTCCAGATATTACAATAAGAAAATTGAAAAGCAATAAAATGTTTTTAATAATCTCAGCATTTAAAAGAATTCTAAACAGTATTAGAATTTTGAATCTGAACAACACCTTACTCGATACATGGGTTAAATAAATGGCCAGATCAAAAACCTCAAGGTTCAGGTTTAGCCATCCTTAATTTAGAGCTGCTAGCCTAAGGGAAGGCATTAGTAAAAAGCACTAGCCATCTAAACAACTACTCTTGACCAAAAGTTAAAGTGGATGTCATGGCTATATTGTCCACAGCTGAAAGCACACAGCATGTTCAGTGGCATATTTTACGATCCACACCCCAGAACAACAATTACTAAACCACTCCTGGCTAGGATTTTTGAACAAACTCACAGAAAGGAATTACAAATTACTTAACATATACCAGAGCTTCTAAGTCTCTAGTATATTAAAATTCAACATCCAACTTTGCTGGGAATCAAACTAATGGTTTGTGTTCAGTCCAATAACGTATGCAATCACTCAAAACAAACTCTTTAATAATGTGTTAAACTTTCAGTTTTGTGAAAACTTATTCAGTATATTGTACAAGAAATACGTGTTTATCTGAGCCACAAAAACTTCTACTGCAGAGACATTTTTAATTTGTAAACAAGTATCCTGTTTCAATAGTACATCAGGTATATCATATAATTATTTTAAACATCATACACAAATATTTAAATGAAAGTAACATCACAATCATATGTACATTTGAATGAAATACCCTTAATATATAAGAACCCAACAGTATTATAAAATAATATTTGCATTAAATTGTAGTTGTGAAAGTTTATCTCCAATAACTAATAAGGCAAATTATTTTAAAACCATGTTGAACATCACATATAGATCGACTTCTACTAACCTGCCCTTCAAAATGTTCTGATATCATCTTTTTTTCTGAGGAAACTTACAAAAAAAATAGCAACTGTGTCCTTTTTTCTTCACAAAATAGTTAACCTAAGTTTATGTAATTAATATTAATATTTAAAACCTAATTCTTTATATCACATTTTCCTCATTTCTTGCTTCAAATTAGTCGCTATGAACTTATCATACTTGTAATATACTTCTCAAAATAACTAAATGTTTAGATCTGTTATTTTGTAAAAAGAGCTAAACTTACCATTCCCTCAGTAATGATTTCTGCTTGTTGTTCTTCTGAAGTCAAATTATAAATGTAATGAGCGAGTGCTTCACCTATGACTCTAACATTTCTGGCAAGTTTTTCGAGGTCCACTTTTTCTCTGTGATGATGGAGAAATAATCAAAAAGACATCATAATTATTAGCACCTTTTTTTTAGGAACATATACTATTTAAAAAAATAAAACAAACAATAGGCATTATTATTAACATGTAAATATTCATCTTATATATACAAGTAAACTTAATTATATGTACAAGCAATTCACAAAACAAACCTAGGGGGCAAGTACAATTGTGTAGAAAATAATACTGTTCTTTAAACAAACATCAAAGAAATATTTCACAAATATATTTAAAAACAACAGCCAAACTCAAAGATCAATATCAAAGAAACAAGACCACATATAATATTGAAACATACCTGTGAAATCAGAACTGAATCCTAGACATTAAACTTAAAATGTACTGCAATATTGGTTCAGTCAATATTGAATGACCTCATAGCCATTTTATATATGTAGTTTCAAGTATATTTTAGTAACATTACTTTCTGACAGTTTATCCTATTAATCTTAGCTACAGTTTCTGTATGTATATCTAACTAATAATTTATTCGTTTATCAAAATTATTTTTCAAGGGTTCATAATTGCTAGTGTCATTAAAATTTATTCTAAAATCTAACTAATCACAATTGATCTTAAATCATTGTATTTTCATAACCAAGCCACTGTGGATTTCCTCCTTTCAATAACTTCCAATCAGTGTAAGCTATGTACTTAGAGCAAAACTAAAAATCAATCTGTTCATCAGTATAGTTAATTAACTATACTTTTCTTATGTTTCTACTCATAAAGATTAGAATGTATTTTTTCATAAGTTGGGTACCCTTACTGTTAATGATATTTTCAGCCATAATAATTTTGTATAGTTTCCAAAACATTTTTGAACTTGGACGCTCTTTCTTGGACCTGAACAACTTACACTTCCCCAATTTTCAGGTATCCAAAACAAAGATAAATTTAGTACATTTCTTGCTAGGATGATAAAGTTCTATACATAAGGTTTACTTTCAAACTAAACAGTTTATGATCTCTTAAGAGACCACCCTCTTAGGGTTATGACCAACAGTAATAGAATCCCTGGTTTAATACAAAGTAGTAACACCTAAACAAATTGTGTCTCTTCTGCTACTCATCAACAGTTATGTACAAAGTAAGTTAAGGCTAGAAAGTGATCGTTAATACCCAAGATAAATGCCAATTATTTTCTAAAATTTAAAAGGAAAACAGAGTTATACATTCTAAAGTCGCTTTGTTTGATCTTAATCAAAATATCATTAAACACTAGAGATGTGACTCAGATACTTGTATGTTTGTTTTTTGAATTTTGCGCAAAGGTACATGAGGGCTCTCTGCACTAGCCGTCCCTAATTTAGCAGTGTAGGACTAGAGGGAAGGCAGCTAGTCATCACCACCCACCACCAACTCTTGGGCTACTCCTTTACTAATGAATAGTGGGATTAAACATCACATTATAACACGCCCACAGCTGAAAGTGCGAGCATGTTTGGTGTGATGGGGATTCGAACCCGCGATCCTCAGATTGCGAGTCGAGCGCCCTAACCACCTGGCCATGCCGGGCCTCAGATACTTGTATATTTAAAGAAAATCACAGATATATAATTAACTTATTAAGTTGTTAAGCAATGATAATGGCCATACTTGATCTCCATTTTTCAATTTAAACATTTCTAATGACAAACATTATTCATTGGTTGAAAATTCTACTATATTCTAAAAAATATATTAAGGAACTATAACAAACCTGCAAAGATATTTCATGGTTTTACTGAATGGTTGGCTAGTGAACAAATATTCAACATTCCAACTAACCAAAACAAAACTTTAAAACATTTCTAATGTTATAATTATACTTGTCATAAGACATTAATATTAGGCCTATTATATTTTTAAGCAGTATATTCTTTATCCAATCCATTATGGATTTTCCTGAATTAATGTTACTAAGATCTTCCAAGTTTTTAGGATACAACTTGTAAAATCTCTTTAGAGATTGACCATATAACAACCTATTGAAACTATTGAACTTAGGAGACAACTACAAAATCTTACCTCCGATCCATGATTGAACTTCGACCAAGGACCTTGGGAGATCTAAAATGAGAGAGTGTGAATGCTTGTAAGCGACGAATGCTGAATCTTTCGTGTTCCCAAGATAATAGTTCTTCAGCCAAATTTATCTTCTTGTGAACCATACTGATGTTCAGTTCTGGGTAAAGCATTTTCCCAACACGCTGTAGTTCCTAAAAATGTATGTACATATGTCCAAAGGAAATTAATTCTGTATATTAAACCTTTACTCTAAAACTGATGATAAACAGAACTAGTACAAATTTAGGAGACAAAATATATAAAACACCCAGTTGATAACAGATGAGCTGATCGTCCTTAAATTTGGTGTAAAGAAAATTTTTTTTATTTTAAAAAAAGTGGAAATACTATCAGTTTCATCTCTTACTTTATACCAAAGACATAGTTATCTATGATTACAAAAAATATTAATTACATGTCAATTATGTTTTTTAGGGTTTTATCAATAAACATAACTAATTTGTCTGATCTACTGTGATCTTGCAAAACTTGTGGAATGAAACTGATGTGGTAAAGACACATTTTTATAACATTTTAATTAACCTACAATCATAATTATAGAGATGGCAGAAAAATCATGAATATATCAAGGACTTAATTATATTTACAAGTAGTCTTTTAGTAAATATTATTATAATAAATTGATACATTAAATATTCTCCTTAAAGATTAAATGATATTTTAATAACTAAACTTGTACAGTAATTAATGACAATTGAGTTATGCCTTGTCTTAAAAATTGTTACTCTTAAAACCTTACAGAAGTAAAAAAATAAATAAACTATATTTCCCCAAAACTTAAGAACTTAACTTGTCTTTAGGATAGTTCCTAAAATTAATATGGCACTTTTCAACTCATTTTAAATGGAAAGTCCTGTAAGATGAAATCTCCTTTGAGGTATTGTTTCTAGTATTAAAGTTACTCCAATCTTATAACTACCAAGAAAAAGAAAAATTCTGACACTTAACTACTTGATTTTTACATGAAATGTTATCTGTAAAACCAAAATGTTTTACAAATATTATAAAACAAAGTATGAGTAACATGATGAATATATAGAAACATTACATATCTAGGATACACCTTTTTGAAAACATATGTCCAACTAATCTGAAATACAATGGAAAAACAACTTAATTTTGTCATCTATCTAACATATCTAAAATATATTTGATTACTCCTAATATGATTTTTAAGCTTATGAAAAGTATTTTGCAATTTTGGCTTAGTACATGGAGATGGGACAAATCTTGCAAGATATTATTGAGATTATGCCCAGAATGTTGTTTATAGTAAGGGTATCCAAATGATGATTTAATATATTCTAATCATTATAGGTTTCAGTTTTCTTGTGTATTGATTTGTGTACTGAGAGCCAGTTTATATATATCACTTATTTATAACTTACTTTTTAGTTCTCATCTTTACAGTTACCTTATTTTGATCAAAGACATTAATAACTGCACTTACAGTTACCTCTAGATAATTACTCTTTCAAAGAAATGACAAAAAGTATGAATAAAGGAACATTAATTAATTCTAAGGACAATGGAGACATCAATAATGGCATTCTGTTCATTACAGGAACTAATCCTAAAACACAGAAATCAAATCAGAGAATACAGTTAACTCTAGGAACATACTTGGAAGAAAATAGCTCCAGGGCTATCCTCCTTTGGTGGTTTAGAAACATGGAGATTCAGTTCATCTTGAGAACCAAGAGATTCCAAACACAGTGTGTATAAAGCATCAGGCAAAAGACTTCCCTCTAGGTCAGATACAAAATTTTTTGAACTAAAGGCATATTTGAATTTTAAGAAACTGATTTAATTTCCTATATGCAGTCAGTTAAATCACAAACAGGTTGAAAAATAAACCTAAAGAGTCATATCCTTAACAGGTTCATTGTTATTGCAACTAAATAATGTCACATACATTAACCAAAATTGAAGACACTCAACTGGAAGAAATAAAACAACTTCTGGCTCAAAAAAAACAAGACCCAGTTTAAACACTAACATGATTTATCAATTTCATATTTTCAGTACAAGTTTAATACTTTATAAATATGAAACTGATACTTATCACTTCAAGCTAAAACTGCTTTGTCACAGTTCTTTCTCAACAAACTTTCACCTGATGTATCAAACTTTTTAATAAATGGTATAATGAACACAGATCGAGAATAATATAAGCTAAAAGTGAGTGTGCAAAAACAAACTGCTAACACTGTAACTAACATCCATATATTGGTTATTATTTCTGTTAATTGTCATTACTTGACAAAGAATTGAGAGAAAAAGTAAATCAAATATTCTTTCTTCTTGCTCTTTTGGTAGTGAGAAATCAAGTAAGTTCATATTCTTAATGTTACATCTGATGTTATGCTTATATACATTTATTGTGGTACAAAATAATATAAACTGTAAGCTGTAATAATTAAGAATTTTCATTTTCCGCACATCTCTATTTACTCAACCTCAACTTACAAGAAATATGAACCTTAAGAATCTTTTGGTCATAACCAGAATTATTAAATAAAATACTTTCCATTTTTTCATACTTTTGCATGATAAACATATATGTATACACAAAAACTGAATAAATCAATTACAATTCTTTTAAGCCTAACACTCCAGATGACAAGATAGTGAATTACTTACATACAGCAGATACATAACATTTCTTTTTTTACATCTATACATTTTTCAAGTTTTAATGTATATGTCCCAAAAGATAACACACATAGTTTCATTGTGTTTAAGATCACTGGCATACAATAAACATAACTATTACCAGACCAAAACTATAATCAAAAGGTTCCATTTAATATGTGTGATAAGTTGTAAACCAATTTTACATTGATTGAGATTTTTTTATATATATCTTTTTGGTAATTTTCTTTGTCTATTCAAGCAGATATTTAGGCCAATAAGACCTAATGTACACATGGCCTAACATAACAGCTTTGCTGGTGAAATAATACTTGATATGATTGAGTGCAAAATAGTTTAACAAAGCCCACCTCATCTTATTTTATTAAGAAAAAAAATATTTTCCTATCATACTGCAACATCATAATTCAAAATGATGTATAAAATGACAAAGCTTTAAAAAAAATAAAAACAGCAATTGTGGAGTAAATTGTTCACAAACATTATTCTTTTAGCAACATATCACAAACTAAGCTTTTATCATTTTGTTCCAATCTCTACAAAAATCTCTGCTGAACTAAAAGCCAAGTTAGCTAAATATCATAGCTTTCAGATATGGAATCAAAATAGGGATTTGTATCTTAAGGAAATAATGTCAACACTGTGTCTCAAACCTTCAGCTTGTTTAATTACTTCTTCTGTGATTGCATTTTCACTTCAAGCTACCTATCTCGTTTCTGTATTTTTTGATAATCCCTATTCCCCCCTTTTTAAATTAACAATTTTTAATAATCTTGTTTCTTTATATTTTTGTACGATAGTCCATTTTTAGCTCAGTTTTAGTTTATTTTTAATATTTTTTACACAATATGTTATTGTTTCAATTGTGTATGTGATTATCAAAATCCCTTGAAATGGAACACAATTTTTGTACAAAACTTTTTACATGAAATTAAACTATTACTAATAAAAATGATATGCAAACAAAATAAAATGTAAATTTCTTGCTCAATATTACATGATTTAACACAAACATCACAGGAAAATGGTATACACATACAGTTAATATGGTGTTGTGGCATCCCCTTCAAAGCATTACAAATTATACCTTATCTAGATTTTAGTGTTCTGATCAAAAATGAATTTCTTTAATAAACTAAATATTCACATAAAAATATTTTTAAGTTTCAAACCTGAACTATCAATGTTGTCTTCTATCCACTTTTTGGTTCCTTGGAAGTTAAACTTTCCTGCTCCAGATAGCAAAAAAACTAAATTGAACCTGAAGAACACAAAAAATTAAAATTAAATCTCAACAAGGAAATAACACATTAAAAAACATTAACTCACAGTTTACACTAAACTCTCAGTATTTTACATAGATGTAACAAAAACAAATTTTTGTTTGATACTACTTCAATATACTCATACAATCTCAGAATTTTATCTATGAAGAACACAAATGTGACCAAACAATATATATAACGTTAACTTATGAAATGACTGAAAAACTTTTCATCAACACATAAACCAATCACTGTGAGGAAGTTATAGATTAACTGTACATTTCTTTAGGGCTGGTGTGCATCAGCATATCCTGTGTCTCCTTAAGACTATAATTTGGAGACAAGAAAAATAATGAAATACAAATGTGAGGTTAAAATGCAAAACAGGAAATTCTGATGTATGGTCGTTTTTTACTCACCACAGTAAACCTATATTATATAGGATTTGAAGAATATATAGCATTGATGATAATTCATTCTTCTGAATTATTCAACAAACAAGCTGTTTAATATACTAAAATAAATATGAAGCCCAATCTATCATACTGTTCAGTGGCAAATAGTGAATCAAATGACAAATTGTGATTCATGTTTGTTTTAGGTTATTAAGATTTAAATATAAATAGAATCACTGAAGTTTACTTAATGAGTACCATAAAAATGTTTGAACATGCTTGAAAATACAGTTCCATATAAAATAAGCTATTTTTGCCAACCAGAATGTAAAAAAAAGAGAGAGATTTTACAGCAAGATACAGAGCGAAGCATGCACATATACTTCTTTAATATTAAGATTAATTTACATAATTCCTCATTTGGAAAAGCATAAATCTGTAACTTAACCAAAAAATTATTGCTTCAGATTATTGTACATTTTTGGTTATCAGCACCACTTATTTCTCACTTTTGTAATACATAATTTCATAGTTAATTCATTTTTATCAATAATTATAATTTCATTTACCAAGTTATGAAATATTCTTTACATACAATTAACTTTTTTTTCAGATAATCTTAAAAAATATTCACCTTGGATGTGTTCTTGAGCTGGTGTATAAACGAGACAAGAGCCGAGCAAGTTCCAATAATGCAGCTACCCCACTCCCGTTAGAATCGGCTCCATATGCCAAACCCTAGAAGATATTAAATTACCTTTAAATAAGCCATTTTCTTTGGAGTTTGATAAAAATGAAATGCTTCCAAAATGACTTAGGTAAAGCACACTTAATAATTTGTTCCTCACTTATCTAAGAAGGTTTAAAAGATACCAGCAATATGATAAAACTAGGAAAGACTTCAACATCAACAATATAATACAACCTTAATTGTACAGAAAAACATTCAGAAATTAAACAGAAACTGAAAGTCATTCTAATAACCAGAAGCCAGATTGATGCACCTGTTATTTAAGACATAAAACATATACATGTGGTACTAAAAATATATTTTCTCTTTTACCTTTTACATCCTAACCCATTAAAATCAGCAACCTTATATTTCATAACTTAACTTGAAGTACATCTGTTTTGCCTGGACGACACAACTATATAATTTTTACATTAATCTTTCACCCACTTCATAGTGCAGCACTTACACCAATCCATTAGTCCTTTTTGGACTGGGGGGGGGGGGGGCATGTCACTGTTGTCCTTTGATTTATTTTTTCCTTCTCACAACGTAACTACTTAAACAAACAGCATGAAACTCAGCACAAATTTTGGCTTTCAGAAAAGTCTTGATTTGATTTCATAAAATACAAAAATTTCTCAGAACTGTGGTTTACTCTTAAGTCTTCTAAACTTCACACTAAATACTGCTATTTTTTTCCTGCAGAAGCTACATTTGATCTTTTTCTCAGGAAACCATAAAATCTTCCCATATTCTCATACCACTTTAATCACTATACATTTATGAATTTCATAATCTGCTCTATTTAGTGGTATTTAAACTTTGCCTGTAGCTATTTTTAAAGCTGTCATTCATTAGGAGTTGTTCGCACCCTTTTATGACCTCACTACATGTGGTGTGAACAAAGGTCTATAATAATCAAACTTCGGATAGAAAAGAAAAATCATAAAAGAAACAAGATCTGGTTAATTGTATTCTAAAGAATTAATAGTTCCTTAGCAAATAAAGACCTATGTTTTGGGATTGGAATAAAAATGCATTACTGACACTCTTGAGAACTAAGTTTTAAAATCTTTTATACTTTGCTTTGTGAATTACATTAAACAAATGTTACAAAATGCCAAAATATCAATTATAAAACATTTTTAAGTAAGAAATTGTTTAAATGTTTACACTAATCCCTAAAAACCAGTAATGTTAACACATACCAGAACATGCCTTGACTTCACCCAACAGTAATTGTCCAACATTTACACTACTAAGTTATATATCTTTATCACAAGTTCAAATTAATGTTTTGATTTGTTTGAAAATTCATGCAAAGCTACATGAGGGCTATCTACACTAACCATCCCTAAATTAGCAGTGAAAGACTAGAGGGAAGGCTGCTAGTCATCATCACCCACTGCCAACTCTTAGGCTACTCTTTTACCAACGAATAGTGGGATTGACTGTCACATTATTATGCCCCCAGGGCTGAAATGGTGAGCATGTTTAGTGGGACAGGGATTCGAACCCACAACTAGCAGATTGCAAGTTGAGCACCATAACCACCTTGCCATGCCAGGCCTCAAATTAACGTAATCTTTTTGGTCAAAATTAATATGATTACATAATGCTTAGAGCATGTCACATTCATCTCAACATTTTTCATGAAGTCCAGCCAACTGGAGATATTGTTCCATCATTTATTCATAGGAAATTTTAAAATGCGATCATCTTGTTTCTGAAAATACTTGTTATGTTCTATTTTACTGTCGGGTGAAAAATATTTTAATTCATGAGTTAATCACACTGACTATAATGGTATAATTTGTTTCTCAAAACACCACGTACTACTTAAGGTGCAAAGCACAAAAGAATGAAAGTAACTTCAGTGTCTAGAATATAAAAAAAAAACTAAATTACATGGAAGATAAATTTAAAATCATAAGGGACACTATGCATCACTGTCAGTAAACCTACTTCTAACTACTCATATGTCATAATGAATTACAAGAATAAAGGTAAGTAACAGATCTTCTATCCTAAAGCCTTGTAATTTTAAACAAATTTATAGCCATAACATATACCATGAGTTAATGTCAGCGAATATACTTGCAAACACTTACTGGAACAATACCATAAGTGTCATAATGAGTGGCAAGAACAATAGCAAATAACTGCTCTTCTATCTCAAAGCCTTATAGTTTTAAATAAATTTAAAGTCTTAACACACACCACACATTAACGTCAGTGAATACTTGCAAACACTTACTGGAGCAACACCATAAGTGTCATAATGAGCTACAAGAACAATGGTAGGCAGCTGCTCTTCTATTCCAAAGCCTGACAGTTTTCCCTAAATAAAAAAAAAAATTTTAATAAATTAAAAACCACAGAAATTTCTAATTGCATTAGATAATGTAGCTAAACCTAAAAGTAAATAATTAATGTCTATACATTCAGAACACTTGTAACTTTTGGTAAATATATAAAAATTAACTAGATTTTGTTCAAAACCAAGTATAAAGGAATATGTAAAAAAAAGAATGAAAGTATCCATATTCTTAAATAACAGCTAAAGCTTATTTTCAGAATGATACAAAATATTTTATGTGGAGGATCAGTTTTTGCATTACCACAGGTTACTCATATAAATTACACACAAAAACTGTACACACATATAAACAGAAAATTATATTACTTGACTTTACTTATACTGCTGGTACTAATAACTAGATAACTAAACAAAGATTATATATTTTATCAAGCAGAGTAATGAATTATCCTATATGCACATGCACACCAAATATCATTGCTGTCTTTGAGAGGAAGGTCCAAAGAATGATAGTTACTAACCAATAAGCCACTTTTGCCTTTAAAACCAACTTCTACACATAAACATATGTATAGAACAAAATAATCAAGATACATTTTAGTGATCTTCTTGTAATAATAACTTTATTAACAAAATGTCCAGTGTTCTTGTGTTGTTTAATACATGTACTGGGAATTAATATAAAAAATTCAGATGAAATAATTTGCATATCCTTCCAGAGGCTTTTTCAGAAAATTTCAAACAAAAACAAAGACTCAGTGTACTTATAAAATATTTTATAATTTGGAAAGAAAAACGAATGCAAGAAGAACAAAAACAATTACTACATGAACCTACCAATACCTCAACCACCACACCATCTAGAAAGATGTTACACAGATAAATAAAAACTTAATGGATGATATTACTAAATCAATACATTGTTTAGGACATTTTTACACACTGAAATAAAAACAGGAACATTATTTGTGCATAGCAACAGTCTAGGAGCTTTTGATACTGATAATCTCAAGAATTAATAAACAATAGTCTTTGATCACCACTGACTAACAGAAACAGCAGCATAGAATTCCACTCTTTACACACAATCAGGTTCAAATACCTAATCAGTGCAACCCTTGATATAACTAAAATTCAAGCTACGAAAATATTCTCAGCCAATGAAGGTTGACAGGAGTGTGTTGAATAGTTAGTCCTGTATTAAACCTACCATGATGACTACCTCTTCAAAAGGAAATAAATTCAATGCTGTCTAAAAAAAAAAAAAACTAAAAATAAATTTGTTTTTTGTACGTTTAAAATTTTTTTTTTTCTTTCTCACCAATCATAGAACACAGAGCAAGAAACAGCTGACTGAAGACACAACTGGATGAGGAATTCTCACAATGTAGTACTTAAAAATCATCATGAAATTTTCTGAGCAAATTTGGTGTTGACAGACATAGGTGACTGCAGCTCATTTTATAAAGCAAACTTTCACAAGTATTTATTCTTAATCCAAAGCTACCAGCTACATATTTTATTTTAGTGACTTTTTGTTTCACAGTTTTAATAATGTACCTAATCAACATTTAAGATTTTTGACCACTGCTACATAAAGAGGCTCTTGCAATAATTGTTTTAAATGTTGATATTCAAAATTGGATTAATTTATATGGAGTGTGGTGAGGATGGAATGAACAATAAAGGGGAACTTTGAGTGTTGTGGGATTTGTTTTAAAGCTACTAGGAAGTTAATGTTTTGAACACAAAAACTGGTAAAGTATTGTAAAGCGTTATTTTTAATATCTGTAATCAGATATGTGTAAAATAGCATTCCAGATTTTATGCCTTTCTTTTGGTATAAAAACCCATCAACTGTACTGAATATATAAATAACATTTCAGATAGGCTTATGTCAATCATTAATAATTTTTTTTGTTGCTAAACACAAATTTACTCAATGGACTATTTATGCTGTGCTCAACACAAGTATCAGAACCTGGTTTTCAGTGTTATACGCCTTTAGACTTACTGCTGAACACTGGGAGGCCTCATCACTAATTGTTGTTTGTATTTTTATTCAAGATAAAGCAAGTTCTGGGTCTGATTTACTGTTATTAAATACTGAAAAGTCAAATTACAATAGTACATATATTAAAACGATTAGGTACGTATGTGTGTATGCATTGTAGATGTACTGTACGTGTGTGCATGTTTATACCACAAATAAGATATGTCATGTTTTTTTATTACTCTAACTATCCAGTAGTCAAGATTATGATTAAATTGTTTAATGTCATAAAAATAATCAAATAATTAAATTCAGTGTTTCCAATTATTACTATTATTGATTACTCCAACTATCTATTGATCAAAATTATGATTAAATCATTAATGTTACAAAAATAATAAACTAATGGAAATTAATATTTCCACTTATTATTGTTTTTGATTATTCCAACTATCCATTAATCAAAATATATTACCATTATAATTTTTCATTAATATTTTTGATTAATTCAAATTTGTTCAACTTAATGTCATCACTCATTAAAATAGTCAACTAATCAAAGTTAGGGTTTCTGATTATTACTATTTTTGATCATTCCAACTAATCAAGTAACTGAAATATTATCATTATGTTTATTTGTTGTTAAGCACAAAGCTACATAAATGGGCTATATATTCTCTGCCCACAGTGGATATCAAAACCTGATTTTTAGCACTGTATGTTTGTTTTCTGAGTTAAGTCGACTAGTAAGAATAATTTTATTTTTCAGTCATCTCATGAGAATAATTAATTAGTTGGATGTAACTGATTAATGAGCCCAGCAATTAATCATTAGCAAGTTCTACTGATCCCCCAGGTCTACCCATATGTCACTACCCTAATGTGAGGTACTATACATGTGAGCTAAGCAAGTAAGTTCATAGATGGAATTATGAAACCTACATAAAGTGGAAACTTAAGTTATTTTTATTTGTAGTTCGACATAATACATGTATAGAATAAGTTTAAACCATAATGGATACAAAAATAAAAGAAAGAAAAATATATACTATACAGCTTAGATACATACCTAAAGAACTTACAAAAAATTAATATTTAAACATTTGTTGAAGTTTTATTTATAAAACTTAATTGGAAAACATTAACAAATATTATAACTTATCAGTATATTCTGGTACAAAAGTCAAGAAACGTAATGACATATTCCAAGTGTTGTTGTGTAACGCCAATAGTGAGAAAGTTCGAAACGTACCTGAATGTTTGTGACCTGAATGTCACTCTGAGCCTTGGTTTGGCCATTGGAAACAACTAGCTGGAAACCACTAGCTGATAAAGTTCCCCATAGTTCTGTAATTTTGTAAATAAATCAAATTAAAAAACTTTAAAAATGTATGATAAAGTGATTTCAGAAGCTTGTTAACCAATAACGCAAAATAGATTTTAAGATTAACTTGTATCTTATATAGAGAAGAAACTAAAGTGTTGTCAAACAACCTCGAACCAGTACCTGCACTAGGGATGGGGAGGATGCAAAAAGTGCACTGCAACAGTGTCCTCAAAAAAAAAAACATTCAATATTTTGAAGTGTTATAGAATTGTTTTTGATTGATTCTGTACTTTATTATTTTATTTTTATTTCCTACAAAACTGGACAAAGATTTAAGAACAAACTTTAGATTTACATAATAATAACCATCAATCATGAATTCAAATTTGATGACAAGGAACCCACTTTTTAGACAATAAAGTCTGGAGACATGTTGAATGGGTAGTGAAAGATACTTTGTTACAAATATACAACGTTTCAACAAGTTTTTGTCATCGTCAGATGAACATAAGATTTAAGGAACCCCAAGTCTTTATGAGGGCCACAGAAAACCTGGTGCTACTCCTGACTCCTTTTAAGCTCATTTATGAGCTATTTATCGGGTAAGAGACAATTTGAATATAAATGTTGCATTTACCACAACAGTGTTCAAACTCAAATTGTGTCTCACCTGATGAACACTTCATAAATTAACTCAAAAATTTGTGCTTAATAAATACATTATGGAGTTAACACAGAAGTTTATTTCAATAAGTTTGCTTCCCATAATTAAGAAATTACTCTCAGAACTACATTATAATTTAAGCACATATTTATTGTTAAACTACATATATCAAAAACAGTACTTCATTTAATTTTTTTAGATAAACTTGATATTTTTAATACCTGATTGATTCCCAGGACACCCACTGTTTACAGTTCACACATAAGTTAGCATACTAACAGTTATTACACTGATCTAAACATCACTGGAGTTCCTGGCTAGTGCCAATGAATCCAACTTTAATACCTGCTTGATTCCCAGGATACCCACTATTTACAGTTCACATATAAGTTAGCATACTAACAGTTATTACACTGATCTAAACATCACTGGAGTTCCTGGCTAATGCCAATGAATCCAACTTTAATAGCTGCTTGGTTCCCAGGACACCCACTATTTACAGTCAGCATGTTAGTTAGCACACCAACAGTTACTATGCTGATTGAAACATCACTGGAGTTCCTTGGTAGTGCCAATGAATTCAACTTATTCAGATAAATCCAAAAAGTATTCCACTGTTCATCAAATTTTTACTGAAGATTAAGTTTGAAAGCCAATGCCTTCAGTACAGAGCAAAGACTGATGAAGGACAAAGAAAAGCCATGACCTTAACATTTTGAATATTTTTCATATCAAAACATGGAAACATCATCTTAATGGAAAAAAGAGGCTAATAATGAATTACATTTCTCAAAATTTCAACAGAAAATTGCAAACATTAAAATCAACTACCTTCTGCAGCTGAGGCGGCTTGTTTTCCACTTGAAGACTTTTGTACATTTCTATATATCTCTGTCAATTCTGGTGTTTCTATACTAAAATATACAGGTATCTGTACTTCTTCCTCTAGCAGACTTCTCTCAAGCTCCATAATATGCTATATATATATATTAACAAACACACAATACATTAACATATAAAAAATTATATGATATAACGTTAACACATGTATGATATTTTAATAAAAATTAATTGTTTTAACTAGTTTTTATTTAGTAGGGACAAAAACTGTGTGTGTGCATGCATGTATGTTTTTGTATATGTCTGTTATTTAAACACATTTCTTTTACTTTTTTACATGCATACTCCTCTTTATACCGAAACCAGCAGCTTAATGGTTGAAAAACAGCAATATTCAGACCAAATAGTTATACTAATTTTATCCCACCCTCATATTCAATTACTTTCCTCTACTAAATATTTATTTTAAATAGCAAACTAGTAACAAAAAAAGAAAATGAAAGCTTTGATTAACAAAGAACCACAAAACCAATGAGCACGTATTTTTAAATGCAGAACATTTTTATTTCAATTATGTGCTTAACTTAAAAACACTAATGTAATAACACACACACACATACATACATATATATATATATATTTAAATGTAATTTTATGGAGAGAGAGAGAAAAATTTAAAAATGCAGCCACAAAACAAACATCCAACACCAAGGCACAAATCATAAGGTGGATCATTATGTAATGTGCCCTGGTTCTTTGAGGTACTGCTGGAAGACCCAAATTGCATTGGGGGTACAATGTCTATCAAGTTTAACACCTCAACTTTGCTGGCCTCACATGCTTAGAAGAGAGAAGAAAAAGGAGCAGATATGGGTTCTCTAGCCCACAATGTCCCACATCTTTACCACCTTTTGCTGTCTGCAGTCAGATGTGGGAATGTGGTTGCTCACAAGAAACGATAATTAGACAGAAATAATTAGAATACAAAACACAAATGGTGGAAACACCAAAACTATTTTTGAAGTTAGCATTCCAGCCCTCAATATGAAGTTTGAACATAAATACCAAGATGTTAAGGTATTACTATACTAAGCCCAACAAATATTATAAGTATAACTCCCATCCTCCACCCTTCCATGCTACTATCTGGATCTTCAATGGTTCTAAAGAGATCCACTCAGTAATAGGTCTTATATAGGGAAAGTAATATAACTACCACTACATTAATCTACCTATACAAGATATGAGATGTCCAATAAGTTATTCCAGTTATTTCCTCTACTATAAATTTTAGAAAATATTTTTTATTCTGCATACTATAACTTTGTTTAAATCACTATTTTCAAGTTTCTATAAATACTTTTTGTATTTATTATAAAATAATTTAAAATATTTAAATAAAGTTTTCTCATCAGATCCGTTAAATATCAATTTATATATTAATATATATATATTAGATATTAAGAACTGTACATTTCTACAGATTTTACACTATCTAAGAAGCTGTGAATGTATAACACTCTGTATGGCATTTGTTGGTACATTAAAGTATAGAAAGGAAAGTCAAAAAATTCGAAATCTGAAATAATTTCTTTTATCACAAGTATTAATATCACTAAAGTTATTAATTAAAGACATTAAAGTCATATACGACTAACTGAAAGTGAAGTTTAAAAGTTAAGCACAGTACAAAAGACTTTTGTTTAATAAAATGCACATGAAAATTACACTTCTAAATGGTATAGTGCCAAGGAAGTTTGTTTGTTATGAATTTCGCGCA